TGAAGTTTCTAATTTTGGCCATCTTAAAACTGCCAAGAATTGTTACAAAGACCTTTCTCTTTTCTCCGCCTCCTCTTACCCCACACCCGCCTCTCCACACCCCCTGCTATCCAATTATAGAAACTAAAAAAACCTAAAACACTCAAAATCATACACTTGACAGATTTACAGCAAAGGCCTGAATCATTCTTCCAGTCAGTTAGAATTTAGCAACCAATCATTTGGTGTTGGCAAACCAAATATTGTTGCAACTTAAAAGGAGTGGCAAGAAACAGAGAACAATAGATGGGTAAGATTTAAAGATTGTACGTGCTGGTGGCATGAAGATGTGGGGGGTGGGAGGTGGTAGAGGACATCTGAATCACTGTCATCTTTCCTGTAATACACATCTCCAATGGATGGAAGTCTACACTTTACACCACAGTACTGCACGCTTTAAATCAATTTACCAAAACAAAATCTGATCGCCTTATGTGGAGACTGAAAGACTGAGGCTAGCGTGTACTGTACTGCTACTTTATTTACATGTTTAGTTGAAATCATACCGAGAGTTACAATTTGGGCCAGGACATCCCATAACAGTCTTAAGTATTTAGGAATAATAACTTTCATATTTAATCCTCTCATAGAAACAATACACCAGTACATATACAATGCATATTTATTAAAATGTGATTTAGCACACAATAATTTTGGGGGTACGAACAAACAATTGCCTAGTAAATGACGTCCTTGTGTGACTTGAGCGCAGGGCATTTTAGGTACCTCAAGGCAACTCTCAGCTTGTTGAAACCAACTCACACCAGGCTCCACATGATTATACTTCCGTTTTCCAAACTCTGGCAACTTTCCAACAGACAGGATACAACTAGCTGAGTGTGGGAGGCTCTTGCAGAGCAGTTGAGGCAGGATCTATTTTATCATCCATCAAGGCCCGAGGGGGCTCTGTGCGTTTCAGTGGGGATCCTGCAAGGTTTTCATCAAGCCAAGACAAACTGATTAATTCACCATTGGCAGCTTCAGCAAGTAAACCAACAAGGCTGGCAGAGTTTACAGCAACATGAAACAATCATTGCACAATTCGTCAACTGTCAAAGCAAGCCGTCACACAAGCACCACTTAACCTTCTGCATACAAGAGGACTACATCCATGTAACAAAAATATTGTTTCATTACACCTCACCGGATTCTATTTCTTACACACCAGCAAGAAAAACACAAGACCGATTGACTGATACGGTGGCCTTAAGCATATTATGCTGGTACCCAGAATCATTATTTCTTTCTGCCATTCCCCTCTCCCCCAAATCCTGCTTGATTTATAAATGTCCATTTTCTAGGTTAAAAAGAGATTTGGTCATTCTCGAACTTGCCCACTCACCTGTGTATGGAAGTTTTCCAATTCAAGCAAACTCTTAATAAAACAGACAGAGGAATTACAAACGTAGTAGGGCTTAACAACCATGTGGCAAATAAGACGAAGGACAGGAATATTAATTGGGCTTATTCTTATTTTTAAAAAGTGCTCCGCAAACATGGTGGTCATTTCTTTCGAAGCAGGTTTAGAACACGCCTGGCCTACCGATTAGGGCATTCTTACACATAGTAGCTGAGCAGTGAGCCTCCGAGAGGAGGGAGCACAGTGAAGCAAGGCCTAGCCAGGCACACAGTCATGATTCACTCTCTCATCTCAGTTTAATTTGCCTGCAATGCATTCACACTATTGGAATTTGGAGGAACTCAGTATATGTGAAAAGAAAACAGCGCAGAAAAAAAGCCAATTTTCTGCACTGTTGTTGTTTGGTTTTCCAAGTAGGGTGGACCGAGAGATTAAATCAACCCAGTTATCCTTAGAAAACGATCATTCCCTTCACTGCTCAAAAATAACCCTCTGTAAAAAGTGGGCAAAACACAAAGTAAAGTTCAAAAATGAAATGCCTGGGTTATAAGTCACCTCCACTTTTCTAGAACACCTGAAGTTACCAAACATTTTATAAAAGCAAATCTGAACAGTAATGTTCAGAACAGTGGCAACGTAGAAAAGTGATTCAACAATGAAAATATATACACACTGAGAACATTTCTCCCTGCCACAGAATTGTACTTGAAGAGCAATGTTAGTTATCATGAAAATTCAAAGGAGCAATCAGATTTCTGAAGCATTTCTTAACCTGGCTATTAGAATGATACTCATCTGAAACTATTCCGAACGTTGAACACAAAGGCTGGAACCAGTTAACACAGACCACCAAAGGTGCCTGTTACAAGAGCTGAAGAGTGTTAGTGCACTTTGAAATTACAGTCATGGAACTGCTATATAATAAGTTTGTTAACTTACAGCCTCAAGCGGCAGAATCAATGGGAAAAATAAAACACTTAGCTTGTCGGTAGATAAAATACCCTGAAACCGCAAAAATATACAGTATGTTCTGTGAAGCGCTTTTAGAGACGTCTCAGTGACGTGATAGGCTCTATGTTAAATGCAGGGATTATTATTATATCCTAATATCGTGGTACAGTTTAGAACATTAAAACCCCTGATCACAAAGTGAAATTTCTGGCAACATTAACTCTAGCTCAATCCTCAGCCATTGACATAAAAAGTATGAAACAGCAGCAATTCAAGGTCAGAGTTGCAGGTGTGTCAATTGGAAATAGCTTAGCGAGGCCTAAAGTTCATTACTCAACCTGTTGAATACAATAATTCTGGAGTCAGATGCTTCTGATAGGATCAGAAGCTAAATTAAACCTTATAGTTTAAACGTGAGAAGATAGGAGCCGAGTTAAGAATCAACAGCTGCATACAAAGAGCTTTGCCTAATATGGCGTGTGTTTAAAAAAAATCAAAACGTGGGGTACAGATACACTTAATTTCCCATTAACATGCTATCTAACAAATTGTTAAACAAGTCCAAACTTTGTGAAAATTTTATAAGACAAAAAAATGCACCGACACAGTATCTTTGGGACAGATTTGAATTATGAAAGTGGAACATCTTCACATTAACAAGAATTGTGCTAAAAACTTTCCATCCAGATTTGATTTCTCTTCTCCCCCCAATTCGAGGCCCCCTGCCTCTTTCAGTGACTTGGGTGGGGCAGAGAAACCTGATGTCTTTCCCTCATGGCGACCAAACACTGCTCAGAGATCAGCTCACAGAATTGCTCCGGAGTGAGCAAAAGAATGTCAAAAGGGCAACACCCTTGACCTGTGTTACTGTGTTCCCAGCTACCTGTGCCTCTTGACTGTTTTCTTAGTAATAGAAACAGATTTTTAACAGTGCACTCACTACCTGCTCACATCACCGTGCAGTTTGGGAAGGCCGAGCACCCTAAATGCATGTCGGAGGGTATGACCCAATGGAGGGACTGCCCACTGGATCACTCATCACCCAACAACTTTAATTGCTGAAAGCATCGTTATTCAGCTCTTGGTTAGGGAATAAATAAAGTTGGGGAAGAAGGCCTTTAGCCATCCTGAGCACATGCTTGGCATATCATAATCAGTCGGAAGAGCCAGCTAATATGACGTTTTAGTGCTTACATTGCACTTTATGCTCATGCTTAGCATTGCACTGCTGCAACATCAACAGTGCTGTTTTAAAAGTAGCACTGAATTCACTGCATTCTCTCTCCAACCACAACCAGACCCCCTGACCAACACCCCCCACCCTCCCCACTCCCACCTGAGGGACCCAGTGCGGTAATCACAGGCTGCAGTACTTGTGCTAACAATTTCCGAACAAAGAAAACTCGCGACTGATAAAGAACAGACTCTGTGGCACACACAGAGAAAAACATCTGACATTAGATCCAAATCGCTCACTGATATACGAGCTTTTAAATTAAAGAATGATTAATTCAAAAGCAACTCTCCACATTAATGCATTCCGCTTGTGCCGGTGATCATTAACTAGATTTCTGTACAGAACTTGGATGTATGGCACCATTCAAATCACCAAGCCAATGTCACAGAGAAAAACGCTGGCCAGGCAGACGCCATGGGAGCAAACTCCAAGTTTGAAGCAATTGGCCGTCTGTTATATAATTAATTCTTAGTCATTATGATTCATTGCCAATTTTTCACTGGAGACCCAAAAAAAATGGTAGGACAGGAAAGTGCTCGCAGGAGCATTAATTTTAGCTTATCTTTAGAGGAGGGGGGTGAGGGAGGGGGGGATAGGGGTTCACATCCTGCAGCAATTTCATAAATCACTGAATGTGGCCAACTTGCAAAGTCACCAATCTAACTCCGAAAGTTTGGCTTTGGCAAAAATTTATTTGTACAAGTTAAACAGTTCAATACCCAGGCCACTGTTCGTTGCGTAATGTTGATTTAATGAGGCTGGCCAAGGTTTTTAAGCTTAAAAAGTGCTAGCACATCCAATTCAACAACGCTCTTATAACCTGGAGGAAAGTAGCTGTGGTGGAGAAGCCCGTTCAAGCTGATGACCCGGGGCTGGCGATGAGGGTGGGGGAAGTGGGGGGGGAGGGGATTGAAAGGCTAAGGCAAGATTCAGAGGTGAATGAGGACCAGGAAATTTTAAACTCAAAAAATGAGCAAAGCCTCAAGGCTTCCAGACAGGCAGTCCTGGTTTGTGTTACGATTTATTACATTTACTTATTCTCTGTGGACTGCAGTTAGCACAGCACATATTTAGACTGTAAAATCCCAGCCATGTAACATTTAGCTTCAAACAAATATGGGGCAGGATATAGAAATGGCGTGACTAAGGCGAAAGATACATTATACTCATTCGACTCTTACAATCACTAAAATGAGGTAACATGACATGCGTGAATCCAGATGATTCTAGTTTTAAGTAATTTCAACACTATCCCAGGTTTTAACATAACTTAGTCACTCTAAGAGGAAAATGTATTTTAAATGGTTGTCCATCCTATGCAACAGTTGTGAACAGTGTTGGAATTCACTCGAAGATCATATGGTCCTTTAGACAAACATGTTAAATAATGCACATATATCCTGCTATACTTACAGTTCTTCAAGATACAGAAGTTTTTGGAAGGCATTGGGTTGTAGCTCTGTGATGTTATTCATGCTTGTATCCCTGAAAAATAGTTCATAAAGATTTTTCAATGAATGGACTGTTAACATAATCCCCCATAAACACAGACAGACCATTCATCATTGATATACACTCGGCAATTTCATAGGTTATTTAACTAAATAAATTCAGATGCTTTGCCAGATATATTCAGTATCCGAAAATAGTTTTGAATCCTATGCGCTGTCACTAGTTCAGACATATAATGTGAACTTAGCTCAGATTGCCATGTGACCTTCTGAGTTCAAGAGATGTAACATTGTCATTTCTGTCTGTCTGACTAATCTGACAACCATATCTAACAGACCACAATAAATTAATTCACCATCTATTCAGCTTGAGCTCATTACGTGAACCTCTGGAATGTGGGTCGTTCACCCATCTGCATTTCTAAATCGATTTGCGTGAGCTTTGTGCGCATCAAGGTGAGGGACAAAGAATTAGATACACAAATATAATTGGCGGATGGAGGGTTTCTGATGATACAGAGAGCAAGTGAGATCTCCGGTGCATAAAAGCAGCAGGTGGAGAATGCTGAAAGTAATAATAATAATATAATAAACCTTGCATTTGATATAGCGCCTTACCACGTCCTTGAGATGTCTCAAAGCGCTTCACAGGATATACTGCAAAGTAAATTGACCATATATTTTGTGGACGAAACGCAGCAGCCAATTGTGCACAGCAGCGTCCCACAACCAGTCGTGGATTGAGTGACCAGATTATTGTTAATGTGTCACGTAAGTGATCGATGGCAACCGATAAACATCATCGGTCACCGGGATCAGGGCTGTTATGATGCGGGAAGGCCTACTGGCTATCAGGCCTCGTTATAAGGCAGGCTGTGATTCTATAGATTTTTTTAATTGGGTTATAACAAGAAGCTTCACTGGTCAATAAAGCAGCAAGATGGAGAAATCATGTCCGATAACACTTCTTCTGGTGTGTGGCAGCAAATGCCACTCACTCTACAATGTGACCATGAGATAATAATAATAATAATCCTTGCATTTGATATAGCGCTTTTCACGTCGGGAGGACGTCCCAAAGCGCTTCACAGAACACACTGTAAAGTGAATTGACTGTATATTTGTGGGCGAACGCGGCAGCCAATTGCGCACAGCAATGTCCCGCAAACAGTCGTAGATTGAAAATGACCAATTTATTATTGGTTTTGGTTTTGGAGGGATTATTATTGGAGATATTAATTGATTGCATTGCTGGGAATGTTCATCTTGTGAAGGTCTGAGGAAGCCAATTGCAAAACAACTTAAATCTGAAACATGTTAATTATTGGGTCCCTTTAGTTCATCAAGAACAAAATCTCCTTTTTCAAAAAGTCAGAATTTTACAAAGTAATATGTTACAGATCAATGCACTTCAAAAATATAATTTACATGGGCAGGGGTGGGGGAATCGAACATTTTGAATCAAATTACACCATCAGGTAAGATTCTATTCAATGCAATTTGGGTGCAGTTACTGTGGCACCTCCTGTTCAGAGCTGATCCAGGCAAAATCTACACCCAAACTGGTTCGAGCCAGAAAATCTGACCGCACATGCTTAGCACAACTCCAAGTGCACTTCACATCAAACACAATACCTGCCCACTGAGCTATAAAGAAGCAGCTCGGACCCATTTATTAATCATGATTGCACAGGCTGAAACAATGAATAAAGCAAGGTAAGGATATTTAGCAATTTAAGGGTTAAAGGTGGCCTTTGAAAGTGAAAGAAAAAAAATCCCAAAGCACCATTGAAGTTTTTAATCTACAAAATAAAAGCTTGGGTATACATTTTCGGTCAAAAAAATGAGAAGAATCAGGGGAGGAGAAATCTGACACTAAAAAACCCACAAGTACATCGTTGAAAATCAGGATTATAATAAAACATCGGGTANGGGGGGGAGAAGATAATTTAAAAAATTCAAGCCAGACACTGTACTAATAAGATTTTTTTTAAAAAGATTCACAGATCAAAGCAACAATTTTTTTTGGACAGAACAGACAATGAAGCGATGTACAGCATAAATATACCCAAATCCAACAGTGCAGGGGGGTCAGTTTTGGGATGTGTGTGTACCATGACATTGCTTTCAGATGTCCTCCCGATGTGAGAAGCGCGATACCAAATACAAGATCATTTATTATTATTACTACATATGCTGAACAAAATCAGCAAATTTGTTATTTCAATATAAATGAAATTCTAGTTAAAAAAAAGTTTACCAACTAATGTTCACTCCCCCACCAAAAAGAAGGTGGAAATCAGTTAAAGAATGACCATTTTAATGGTCCTTAGAAATCTCATAGCTAGATTCTGCACAGTGACAGCATTCATTGAAACATTATGTATCTACAAGCAACAGCATCGGAGGCAACAGCCTCAAGTGGTTTATCTGGAACTCCTTGCAGACATTCAAGAGACAGACAAGTGTTTACATGACAAGTAAGTATATACAAAATATATTCTGGTAGTTCTGATGCCCTCTTCCTTACCATTCCCATCCATTTGAATTTGCTAAACTCAGGGTTAATTTTGTTAACTTATCACTTCCTGCTCATTCGGTTAGAAAAGCCTGAATAACGCGTTTAGTCTGGAAGCGAAACTTAACCTCTTCTGAATTCATAAATAGGTGGCATACTTTAGAGTCCAAAGCAAACACCGCTTGTTTAAATACCGACCAGGTTGGTAACATATTTTAACAGGTACGAAGCTTACTCAATTTGTTGCCGTTCCAGGCAAGATTCCAGCAGTGGCTACCGTACAGCATTCAAATTTGTCAACCGTACAGTGCCCAAAGCTTTACGCAGCTTTTGTTAGGTCAGTGGCGCGGATATTATTGGCTGGAGTTACAGCAATTTTGTGTCGCATGCAGAAAAGTCACTCATCCACCATCTTTGCCCAGCATTCTAGCATTTTTTTTTGCATCTGGAAGTTAGAATAGGTTATGCTGGCAGCCCGTGCCTTGTTCCCAGTTGCCTGGGCTTTTTTTTTTTGATAGTTAAGTTTCACAATTGGGAATTTCACAGTTCAACAAAATCCCGCACTTTTGAAGTTGCTTCTTTTTTGCTTTTTTTTAAAAAAAAATTAAAAATTCATAGCGGTGAATTGAATGACTCAGTTTGGCTAAATGCCGATGTATCGCATATCTTCACTACCTGTATTTATAGTGCAGTTATCAGCTGATTTAGAAAAAGCAGCATTTTATCCATATTTTGCTACAAACTGTCGAGAAGCTACCTTGTCTCTCTAATCAAAACACCCACTTTGTTTGTGGCCGGAGTAGAATGTCAATAAGCACATCAGAAACACCACCCAGGTAGGCAGGTATTGGTTTGAAGTTGTCCTTAGAGACCGCTTTTTGTAAAAGGAACTATTTTTTGGTTTACTAACTCTCCCAAGGGCCACAACCGTACACAAAATTAGCAAACAACTCCTTTGTCTTCCCTCCCAGAACGCCATTTATACTCCTGTAAAGCACATAATAACCATACACTGTCCCCAAATGACACTATCACAATCAAGCACAGTTTAACATATCATCCTGCTTAAAACAGACGCGGGGGGGGGGGGGGGGGGAATGCAAATATGCATAAAACTGCAATATTTAACATTACATGCAAAACATTTAAAATATTTTGGGGGCTGTGTTGAGACTTGCTGGAGGGAAACGGCAATTAGTAGCATACCTGCGAAGAATCTCAGCATCACGCACTGGTGGAAACCAAGCAGCAGAGAACCAACACTTTAGAACAGAAGTTAAATGTTCTGCTGTGTAAAACACGAGCAATTTCCAAACAGGAAAAATGTTCAAGAGATTAAAGACATTGGCTGCAGCCATAAGCAAGTCCAGCAAGTCTGTGCTTATACAGTAATATAAAACCCAAACTATTATCATGAAGTTACCAAACAAGATTGTGTTGGTGCTTCTAAAGAAGTGAGTGATTGGCATAAAGAGGAACGCATTTAACATACTCAAAAATTATTTTGCCCACCCGCCTCACTTGAATGCACTGCCTCAAGTAAGGGTAGTTGCACAGATGCCAACATGGTGTTTGGCCATCAAAGGCAATGTGAATTAGTCCAATCCTGTCTTCACCTCATATTTACATCTGTATACTTTGCTGAGGTCAAAGGATAGCAATGCAATGCTGGTTAATTTGACTCCCCCTAAGGCCAGGAACTCTAAGGGAAACTCCATTGTTTCACTGCTGACTGACCTGCACATGATCAGTGGACTAACTCGTTGTGAGCTAAGAACTGAACCTCCAATCATCCGAATATACCTGGCTCAGTCGCGCACTGGAATGTGCAACTCCCACCAAAGCACCAGAGTCAAAAAAGAATTTCAATTTCACTCACGCAATTTGTTTTTAGCATCGCACTCCAAGATGAAGTGACTTGATTTTAAACCCCTCCTGGGACGCCGACTGTTTGACATTTTAATTATTTTTCACGAGTTTAAGCTCAAAGTTTGNTTTTTAAAGAAGAAAGCCCAGCAAGTCCATGGGCACTTAAGAATCACAATGCTAGCGAGAAAAGTCATTATTCACCAGGTCATCTTGCAGCAGTGCTCCATAAACCACCTCTTTCAGGCGCGTGAAGTTTCTATGTTTTTTTTAAAAAAAATGTACGGTAGCAGCCAATACTCATTACAGCTCACTCATTTCTTTATTTAAAAAAAAGACTTCAGGGTTTAAAGTCGCATTTGATCACCAACATCCGTCAATGACAACTGACAGGTTTGGCAAGCTTTCAGAAGATCTGCACTGTACCAGCAAAGATAAATTATACTGTGAGAGCACCAATGAACAGTCAAGCCCAAGATCTGCTTTCAGAATTAGCAATAAAACAAACCCATAAAAATGTCAGAAGAGAGGATACCCATGCACTTGCCAGAGCACTGGATGTTGTTTTGAAGTTACTTTTGATGTAAGAGCTCTGAAATGCAACTTTTAACAGATTAGAAATGGTACATTTTGGTTGCTGCATGTTAATG